TTTTTTCTCATTTATCTTCTTATTACTAATTTCTAATTTTGTAGCATTATGGTCTGAAAAGATACTTTGTATTATTTCTATGTTTTTTAATTTATTGATTCTTGCCTTGTGACCTAGAATGTGATCTATTCTGGAGAACATTTCATGCACATTGGAGAAGAAGGTATACTAAGCTTTTTGGGGGTGCATTAGCCTATAAATATCTTTGAGGTCTATCTGGTTCATTGTGTGGTTTAGTTCTTCAGTATCTTTGTTGAGTTTCTTTCCGGTAGTTCTATCTTTTCTTGAGAGGGATTTAATGAAGTTTCCCAGTACTAGAGTAGTACTGTCTATTTCCTTCTTCAGTTTTGTTAATGTTTGTTTTATGTATTTTGCAGGTCTTTCATTTGGTGCATAAAGTTATGTCTCATTTTATAGGGCTTTCCATTATTGTACTTCAGAGACAATTTTCCACAAAATGCAAATCTGTGAGAAGCAATGGCTATTTAACAGTATGTTTTCATTTCATGTTTTAATGTCACATTTTTGCAGTTCTCAAAGTATGTCAAAGATTATCATCATTCTTTTATCTGTTCTGGTAACTGCGATCAGAGGATTTGGATGGTGTTTTGTAAGAAGCATTGTTAAAAAGAAAGAACACAACTGTGTGGCAGTTCAAATCTACCAGTGGCTCTAAGGGAGAAAGAAGAGCAATCAATTCCTGTATAAGTTACAGACTTCTAAAACCCAGTGAAGGGTCAGCTGTGAGCTGGTTCTGACCTGACAGCAGTAAATTTATATGCAGCTTATGGTATTGCCCTTTCTGGAATAAAGAAGAGAGGAAAACAGCAACAATGCACTGAAACAATTCAGTTTAAAAGTCATATGAATTCAACTTCATGATCCTGAGAAAAGAAGATCTAGCTAATGTCCAATTAGCACTGATAACTGCTTTAAAAAAATTACAGTAAAGGATTATGGAGAGAGTGGGGAAATGTGGAACAAAACTAAAAAACATTAAAAAGAATATACAAAGTCTAGGTTTACTACTCCCATAGAGTAGTGATGAAACACCAAGACTATGGTCCTTAGGTTCCCTTTGAAGCTGGGGAAAAAAACTGATCCACACCAGTCAACCAATTACTGCACAGGAACAAACACTATAGCCTTCTTTAAAGAGTATACCTCAACATCAAGAAAACAAAACCCCTCACAATTGGACCCTTAGGCAATATCCAAGTAAATGGAGAAAAGAGTGAAGTAGTCAAAGATTTCATTTAATTAGATCACAATAAACAAAGCAAATCAAGAAATAAAAAAATGTATTATACTAGGCAAATCTGTTTCTCACAAATCTTTTTAAAATGTTAAAAGGGTAAGGAAGTCAGCATAAAGAATAAGATGTACCTCATAAGGTATTTTAAAGTGCTTCATATGCTTGGCAAATTTAGGCAGTAAATCATTAAACTAAAGAATTGAGGCCTTTTAATTTCTAGTGGCCTATAAGTAAGAAGTTATGCTGCCAAATCAAACACACTCTGTTCAAATGCACCGTTGCTCCTCAATACAACGAAGAGCAATCTCCTAGCATGTCTTTTCGTGTCTCTTGTAACTCGCTGGAGATAACCTACCAGACAATTCTAACTCAATGTGCATACTAACAATAATAGTGATGGTGTTTAGAGGAAAGAATAAACACATCTATTTCAAGACCTGTTTTTAATTGTTCTTGGTGAAATATTATTCTAGATCGGATAGCTCTGGTCTGTTCACTTGCTATACAGAGGTAACTCATGGTTGCTGTAAAGCTGAACACTGTGACACTGATATGTCAAATGCAAGAATGGTCACCCATGGTGGACAGTGTTTGGTGGAGCTCCCTGATTAAAACAAGTTTGGAAAAAAAAAAACAAGTTTGGAAGCAGAAGTCGCATCCACTTCCAAAATTGCTTGCCTCTGAAAACCCTATGAACCTGGTGAAAGGACAAAAGTTATACAAGTGTCCAGGTCTTTCATTCATAGGGTTACTATGAGTCGTCTACAACTCTACAGCACTTAACAACAACATCTTGGAAGAAAACTAGCCAGAGTGTCACTGAGAGGCAAGAACGGTTCAGCTTCGTCTCAAACTTCTGACGTGTTTTCCAGTGCATGGAAAATAACATCATATTTGAGAAATAACATCATATTTTAGAGGGTCAGAGTTGGAGAGGAAAGATCCTTAACAAGACAGACTGCAACAGTGATTGCACAATGAGCTGAAGCACACAGAGATGGTATGAATGATACAGGATTGGGCAAGGATTCGATCTATTGTACAAAGGATTGCAATGACTCAAGAGTTGACTCAAAGGTACCTAACAACATGGCTCAATTTTCAGTCAAGTGAAAGACAGGTCTATAACATGACCAGTAAGACTAAGGAGGCACTGACTCCCTAAAATAACCATTTAAGGTTAAAAGAGCATCATGTGGCAAAGGAAAAAAAACAAAGTCCTAAAAGTAAGAATGGATAGAAAGAAGGATTAATGGAAATAAGGATTACTAGGAAGAAATAGAAAAAGTGTGGGAATTGTAATGAATGCTACAAAATTAGTATTAAGGCTTGAATGAAAAATCAACTTGCTTTGTAAACTTTTACTCAAATCACAATCATGAAATAAAAATATAAGTACTTTTAAAACAAAAAATACAACATTTGGGAGGAGGAGTGAGAGCTAAAAATAAATGCTCAGAGAACAATTTAATAAAGCTTTAACAGAAGGTTGGTTTTTTTCTTTTCCTTTTAACAACTCATGCTGTCTATGTATGTTGTGTGTGTGTGTGTGTGT